AGGCTGCAAAGGCTGGAGCAAAGAAGCCTGATATCCCATCAGCAGTGAACAGAACCAGCCAAAACCATTGATACCTCAATACTTAAGCCACTTTCATGCCAGTTTCTGCCAGTCTCTGTCTCTCACTCATCCTCGAAGGTTTCCTCCTCTTCCTCTCCCCTCCTGCTGAGGACGGCACAGCTCAAAGACTCAGCATGGAAACTTTGTAAAGTCCCAATGGCAGGAGGAGTCAGAAGAGAAAAAGGAGCAGCAGGACAAGGAGCGCCTCTCCTGATGTTAATGCCAACGGTGGCAGAGTAGCCTGGCCAGGACCAGGTAACCACCTGCGGACCTGCTCAATATATTTATGACTGTCAGGGATCAATAATGGATCTTAGCTCCCAACTTTTGAGAGATTTACTGCATTTCAATTTGTGGTTTTTGTCACACTCTTAACTTGTTGCTTGAATGCTTGCTTTTAGGGAAACCAACATTCTTAGATGGGCTCTGGAATACCGAGAAATGAATGCTGAAATACGTTAACCAGGGGTATGATGAAAGATCATGAAAATGTTACAAAACTAATTCAGATAACTGATTAAGGAAAAAAGAATTTTCTCACTTGTCTCTCTCCAAAAAAAGAAACACACAGAAAAGAAACAGAAGTGCTTTGTGCAAAAAAATTTCAAGCAGCTCTGTTCCTTTGTTAAAAAATTGAAGAGACTCAGTTTTGAACACAGGAAACTTGGGTATGGAATAGCAATGTAATAATGGGTTTTAAAACGTTTTAGCTAACATAGAGATGCTAAAGCTATAAAACTCTGATTCACTCAAGGCAAAGACAGATTCATGAGAAGCAATTAAGGCCTGATCCGATGTGCAATGATGTCATTTGCTGCCTTGCTGCTAACTTCAAGAATCTTTGAATCAAGCCAACAACATCGATTAGTAAGGACCTGTCGCTTTACAATAAAATCAGAACTGACTTTTGCTGACCAGCAACAGAAGCATTGCTGGGAAAATGGGTCTTATTCCAGATTAGTAGGCACCGATTTCTTCCTCTCAATTCCAAGGAGTGTATCTTACTTTCTGGATCCCCCAAAGTGACAGTCTTTACCTTTGCTTATGGCATACAGATTCACACTGAAATAAATTTGAAGTAGATTAAGCTAAACCACACTGTTCAAACTCACTATACAAAATACAGTAACAAAAGCTGTGCTGCTGCCCAGTCGAGGTACTTTGGAGGGGATTCTTCTGTCCTTAATTCAGGAAACTAATCAAGAAAAGGCACGTCCCCTTACTTCTCCTCTACACTCCCACTGATTTCAGACACTTATCTTAAAATGAAACAAATCAACCTCTGCGGGCAACCATTTCTCTGTGTTGCTTTTAAACCTGCAGCACTTAGCACAGAAACAAAACACTAACTTAGACACCCGATTCTTGGGGTAGTCATTTCCCAACCTCTTGTGTACAGACAGACTGTGATATGTAGGTATATAATGCTTAAGACTCATTGTACTATGAAGTACAGGACCTGGGCAGTTGAGCTCCTGAGGTCAAATTATAACTTGCAGTAAACATCATCTATTTAATGCTGCAAAACACTCTAAAGATCAAAGAAAAAGAAACAATACAATTACCATCCTGATTACATGGTAAGAAGGATCTTCAGTGCATAAATTTGACTGTAACATCATTCACAGACACACATTTTTCAATATTGTCTCAAAAACATGTTCAGTTCTAAATTAAAAAAGGAGTTTGGAATACAAGTACAAAGCCCTGAATTTTGTTGTTTTAAATACCATCTGCTTGACAGCGTATTGCATTTAATCAACACTGCTAATTACAACAAACATTTCATAAACAAAACTAACATATTTTTGTTATAAGACCAAAGAATGGTAAAAAAATATTGTTCTGGCCTACTGCTAAAAAAAGAGAACATCTTAAACTGTTTTAACTATTGGTACCACCTGTGGAAAAAATCTTTTATTTGTACATATAGGCCATGCCACTGAATAAAAGTCTAGCTTCTTTATCTGAGTGGAAAAAAAACTTGCTACTTCAGCTTCTGCTCCAAGGAAACCTACAGAATAACAGACTTGCTACAGGTGGAAATAGCCATTAAGCATTAGACAAAGACCAATACAAATTTTCCTGGGTTTTGTCCACGGAGCTTCTGGCTCAGGTCTCCGGAGAGAGAAACAGGGTATCACCATCACATCCCTGCTCCCCGCTGGCAGTGGAAAGCCACAGCCATGACCAGGTGACCCACTCCACCTCTCAGCAACCAGCACACCACATGCTACAGATTTCACTTATGGCAAAGATTCAACAGCATTTCACAACGATTTGAAGATCCACGTGCAGTTACAGAAAACAGAAAGGTGAAAAGCTACCTTATGAAGAACGAAGCTGCAGCTGAGGTACCTGCAGCAACCCCGGCTGGAGCAACCATGTTCTGGGAGGCTGCCGAGCCACCTGCTCCTGTGGGGTCCGAGTTGTTCTGCCCTGAGTTGATCTGAACATTGGGACCATCTCGGCCACTTTCTGGTGCTGTTTCTGCCTGGAAAAATAAAAATAAAAAAAAGAAAGAAAACACATATATACAGGTTAATATACTTGCTGAATGGCCATGACAGGGAGACAGGCAGCACATCCAAAGAGGGTCTTTGTGAGGGTGAAGATCAGCAGCAGCTGAGAAGCGATACAGCTGGACAGTTGTACTACAGTAGGTCCTCCAACAGAAAAGGTAAAAACCATGACCGCAGCAGATGAGGAGAAAACCAGGGAAACTCTTCTGTGATGGGTAATGTACAGTTAAGTATTTTGACAGGCATGAAGAAATGGAAAACGATAAGCTGAACCCTTTTGTTTTACAGTGTTATTTGGGAGCTGGCAGAACTGTTTATCTGGTTCAGTTATAACTGTCAGGAATTATTTCTCAGTGGCATATCATCTACAAGACCTATCTGTTTAAGAAGAACTAACCAAACAGTCACATTTGTAAGAAGTTTCCACATGAATAACCCCAAGAACTAAATAAAAAAAAATTTGATTTTTTAAAACATACAGCCCTGCTTTTCATCATTATTTATCTTAGCAGCACAGGCACACAGCATTTTTTTCCTCCTGCAAGCCATTTCAGTAGAAAAACTGGACTGACTGGAGATGCATCTTCTCCAGCATCATGCATCAGCAGTATATGTGTCAGAGTTTGGAGGGGGGCATTTGTTTTGGAATTTTGCCAAAATATCAGACATATGTATTGTGAAATTGTATCATTTCGATATCTTCATGTTTAGGCCACCAACTCCTTCAGTACCAAGTTCAATTAAGCCCCATCAGTCAAATGCTCATTGACAGTGCTGGGAAGGACTCTTTTTCAGAAGAACCTGCTCTGTGTCTGGGAGTACTGAAGATTTAATTAAAGACGACACCACAATAAATATTTGTCAAAAAAGTTAATTGCTTCATGTATGATAATATATGATGTTTCTGTCATCTGAAATACTACTCTGACATTTCCAACTAATTAGCTAAAATAAATTCCAGAAAAGGAGACAGCCTTGTAATGAAGCACTAACGCAATTAAGTGTTTCCTGGGATGCCACCAAATTTAAAATTTTGTGCTGCCATAGATCATGTTTTACAACTAAAGATATGCGGACATGGTAATAGGGCCTTCCCAGTTACATACACACCCTAAATTTTCTCATACAGTGACAACTCAGAGTTTTTCTCATGAGAACAGAGGCAACCTAGTTATTAGGTACCAAGTAAAAGAAAATTCTGCCGAGTAGTGCTTAACTGGTGCATGAAAGGCTGTCTGGAGTTTCATCTGGACTCATTCCCATAGACTGACTGCTAAATTCCCAGTTCCCAGCAAAGTCAACAAGAAGAAAGTGCACCCAGCTTTTTTGAAGGTCTGCTCTTTAAAGATTAATCCTATTATCAGTATTATGGAGTGTCTGACTAATGCTTTACCACAGACTGCTACACAGAAAAAAGTACTTTTATAGAGCTCACCTAAGATATCTGAGGCTGAGATACGGAAGAATATTCACACAGATTAACTTAATCCTGGCGAAGCTTCTTGTGCCAGAAGCATAACTGGAAACTTTGAATAACCCTCTGCTAACTGGAATCTTTGAATAACCCTCTACTAAATCCTTCACTTTGTAATACAGAAGTCTCACGAGATCAGATTTCTTAGCCGTGCAGACAGAAAGGCAGAGTCCAAGCACTGTTAGAGATCAAGACTGGCACAAAAATGGTATGGCAGGAGTAGATTCTTAAAAAATGGACTCTGTCTATCCCATCCATGACCTACTGGCAATGAGAGCCAGGAATGGAGATGGTTGGGAAAGCATCAGATCCACTCATATGGTTAATTGCTTAAAACTAAGTGATGAACTAATAAGGATCTTGAGACGGTCAGTAAAGCAGGGATTTGAATGCACCCTCAGCAAGTTTGCAGATGACACAAAATTAAGCAGAAGTGTCAATCTGCTGGAGGGCAGGAAGGCTCTGCAGAGGGATTTGGACAGGCTGGAGCAATGGGCTGAGGCCAATTGCATGAGGTTTAACAAGGCCAAGTGCCGGGTCATGCACTTCGGTCACAACAACCCCCAGCAGCGCTACAGGCTGGGGGAGGAGTGGCTGGAGAGCTGCCTGGCGGAAAGGGACCTGGGGGTGTTGGTGGACAACCATCTGAACACGAGCCAGCAGTGTGCCCAGGTGGCCAAGAAGGCCAACGGCATCCTGGCCTGTATCAGAAATGGTGTGACCAGCAGGGGAAGGGAGGTGATCATGCCCCCATACTCAGCACTCATGAGACCTCACCTCAAGTACTGTGTCCAGTTTTGGTCACCACAGTATAAGAAGGACATTGAGGTGCTGGAGCGGGTGCAGAGAAGGGCAACAAGGCTTGTGAGAGGTCTGGAAAACATGCCCTATGAAGAGTGACTGAGGGAATTGGGTTTGTTTAGTCTGGAGAAGAGGAGGCTGAGAGAAGACCTTATTGCCCTCTACGACTACCTAAAAGGAGGCTGTAGTGAGGCTGGTGCTGGTCTCTTCTCTTGAGGGGAAATGGCCTCAAGTTGCATCAGGGTAAGTTTAGATTGGATATTCGGAGGAAGTTCTTTACTGAACGAGTGGTGAGGCACTGGAACAGGCTGGCCCGGGAGGGGGTGGAGTCACCAACCCTGGAGGTGTTTAAAAAAAAAGTAGATCTAGCACTTGAGGCTATGGTGTAGTGGTTAGGTATGCTGGGATGAAGGTTGGACTAGATGATCTTCAGAGGTCCCTTCCAACCCCTAACATTTTGTGATTCTGTGATTTGATCATTGAGGAATTGAAGCAACAAATGTGTGGTCTTGACCTATACCAGACACAGAAAGTATACGGTATAGGGAAAAACATGCAGACTGGGAAAAATTTCACTGTGACGTCTGAACTTCTGAGTTACATGAACTGACACAAGGCACTAATGAATAAGTGGAGCTTACTATGGACTTGGCAATTTACAGACTAAGAAATCTGCACCAAAAACCCTGAAGCCAGTATGTGAGGCTTACAAACCGTAACATCATGGGGCTGCCATGCCCAGCAAGAGAAGGAAATACAACCAGCAACTATTGGCAGGATAACATGCATGTTATTCCCCTGCATTCTGCTAGGAAGACAACCACAGCCCTCTGTCACGTGAGCTGTTGTCTCAGATTAAAAATTACGGGATCAAGATGGATTCCCAATATATATTTTTCCATTCGCTTTCAACACCGGCTATATTAGGAAACAGGACTTTGGAACAAAGAAAATCATGTTTAAGTAAAAATTTGAAAAAAGAAGGCAGAAGCAACAAAGCATTTCTTCTCAACTGTACTTTATCTAAAGCATAATCTAAATGATGGCATATTCTAAAGCTAAATATGAAATCTGTAGAGTTAGCATGAAACTTCAGGGAATTTTAGACCAAAAAGCAACAGATTTGTAAGAACTGACTGGAATCCATTAATAGATCAATTCCTGTAAAAGCTACTCACACTTAACAAAAATACGAGCAATGTAGAGCATACTTTCCTTTTTCACCATTTTTTTTTCAATTTCTATGATGATTTAGAAGCATACGTTCCTGAGACCAATGATTGTAGGCATATCAGGCATTTAACTTGAAATATCCAAATCAAACCTGATGTTTCAGACATCAGATGGTTAACACACTTTCCAAACCAACATATTTAAGTTTGATGTTTGTAAATTGCCATTCTCACCTGAGACACTTGAAAACCCAAACTGTAATTTCTGAGTGGTTTTGGAAGTTTTAGTTCTGTGAATGCATGAAAGGAGGATGAGAAGAAAGCAAGTAGAAGGCCCTGATTCTTGCAAAGGGGGGGGAAAGTAAAGCAAGGCATGCAAGACAAAATCATCAGCAGACTAGTGCAGAAGACAACCCCATAACTTTTTCATTAAGTCTTCAATTACCCAGTTAGCATTCTTCAACACAGTGGTAACATCAGTTTTCCTGCATGGTGAGAAGCTGAAAAAGCACAAAAGAAGTTCTTCCAAGCTTAGGATGCATTTCAAGGATTGCTTGCACCATCCAAAGCAATAGGATTTTCCAGCACAACCATGTCTGGCTCTCCTCGAGACAGCTGCGTATCTCAGCTGATGAGGAAGACCCAGGCATGAGGAAATTTGTCAGGTCAAGTCCTTTGCCATGAGGCAGGAAAACTAAAGACAAGTAATGGGACCCTCCTGAGCACCCCAGTTTGTCACACCAGGGTTTTGGCTTGTGTTGCTTACAGCTGCTGAAGGGGCATGTGTAAGACAATAGGGCTTTGTTTTTAAACTTAATGCAGAAGTTACTTCATGCACCTCCCTCATCTCAACCCGTGCTCATCTGGGAACAGTGAATAGAAAATACAATTCTCTAAAGGAATGGGAGCAACTTTGCACAATGTTTTTAAGCACACAAGTCTGCACAGAGAGAGGACTCCAGCCTGCAGCTGAGAGGGAACTGTGCTTCACTCTTTACTAAATTTTCATAAATCATTCACAATCAAACATAGAAGTGACAACCTTGTCACTATGAAGTGTTACTGACTGCACTGAATATTTAAAATGTCATAGGCCTCCACATCCAGAGATTAATGGTTGTTTTAATTTTCTAAGAAAGGGTTTGCCAGATGAAAGTCATTAACCCTCTGGAAACCTGCTAATCCTCAAAGAAAGGATTTCCAAAAATACTCTATAGGACCTCTACTTTGTCCTAAGCCACATGAAAACTGGTACCAGTAAGAGCACAGCAAGGACAACACTTGATAGTATCACTCCAGGCATTTTGCATGTGCAGGAACGTCCATCATCTCAGTGCTTCACACAGGTGTCTGCGTCACGGACAGGAGGGTTTTGGTACCAGGTCCCAGCACCCATCCTGACGGCGTGGGAGCAGAGCAAGACATGCTGTGGTTTGGCTGGCAGCATCCACACACTCAGTCAAGGTTGGCAGGGCCTCAACAAGCAGTGATAGCATGAGCAGTCACAGTTAAGGTAGCCAAAGGC